ACTGTCTGTCTCTGCTTTCCCCACCCCCAAATCACCAGACCTCTGGAATGTTTTTGGCAAGAGGGAATGGATTGCTCTCACCAAAGACTTCATGGGAATGGCCAGAGTGATAGGCAGGAGTCTTTGGCTCAACCCATCAGTAATCTAGGTGGTCCTGATTTATGCTAAACTTCAGGGCAGGAGTAGCCAGGGCTAGAGGTATCCTATACTTATCTAATTTCCAGAATCCACTTGAGTGCCCAGCAGGGATGGTCAGTAGAAAATTGAACTGATTAGCCCTCTTCATTGTCTCCTTTCTTGCTGACCTTCAGCTTCAAGGTAGTGAGAGCACCAAGATTTGCTTTCATTTGATAGAATACTGTGACCATGAGATGATTCTCAACTAATGTTATGGATAAACCAAAATAATTTAAACATAAAAGTTGGCTGATATTTACTTACTGCTCATCACCTATGCAACAGGCACCACTTAAATAATGCATTACAGTTTACAAAGCATAGTCTGTGTCAATGATCTCGTTTGAGTCAAGTGGACTCCATGTCATTATTGTCATTTTACAGATGAGAAAATGAGACCTGGAGTAGTGAATTGACTTACCCAGCTTGTAAATAACAGTCTATATTTGAATATTGGTTTGTGGTTCTTAAATGATAATTTCTTTCTTTGTTAGAAGAAGTAAGCATTAAGTAAATTAGGAATTCTAAGAGACTTGGCTCTCTTACTCTTCAGGATGTTTTAAAGTAAGTACTTCCTGAGCCTTTTTTGCAAAATAACTTACTGTGAATCAACATAGTTTCTTTGTAAGTCAGTACTCATTGCCACTGAGTTGATTCTAACTGATAGCAACCCTATAGAACAGAGCAGAACTGCCCCAGAGGGTTTCCAAAGCTGAAATCTGTATAGAAGCAGATCGCAAAGTCTTTCTCTTGTTGAGCAGCTGGTGGGTTAGAGCCGTTGATATTTCAGTTAGTAGTCAAGTGCTTTACTCACTGTACTGCCAGGTCTCCTTATGTATTACAGTTGCTGTTGTTAAGTGCCATCAAGTCAGTTCTGACTCATGGCAAAACTACACTCAATGGAACAAAACACTGTCCAGTCCTGTGCCATTCTTACAATCATGCGTGAGCCCATTTCTGTTGCCACTGTGCGAATCCATCTCATTGAAGAGCTTCATCCTTTTCGCTGACCCTCCATTTTTACCAAGCATGATGTCCTTCTCCAGGTACTGGTCCCTCCTGATAATATGTCCAGAGTATAAGAGATAATTTCTCCATCCTGGCTTCTAAGGAGCATTCTGGTTGTATTTTTTCCAAGACAGATTTGTTTGTTCTTCTGGAAGTCCGTGGTACTTTAAGTATTCTCCCACACCATAACTCAAATGCATCAAATCTTCTATGGTCTTCCTTATTCTTTCTTTGTCCAACTTTCACATGCAGATGAGGCTATTGAAAATTCCATGGCTTGGGTCAGGTGCACCGTAGTCTTTAAACGGACATCTTGGCTCTTGTACACTATAAAGAGGTCTTGTGCAGCAAGTTGCCTAATGCAATATGTTGTTTGATTTCTTGGTTGCTGCTTCTGTGAGTGTTGATGGTGATCCAAGCAAAATGAAGTCTTTTATCCATTTATCATGATGTTATTTATTGGTCCAATGGAGAGGATTTTTGTTTTCTTTACATTGAGGTGCAACCCATACAAAAGGCTGTTCTTTTTGATCTTCATCAGTAAGTATTTTAAGTATTAAGTCTTCTTCGCTTTCAGCAAGCAAGGTTTTATCATCTACATTCATGTGTCTTTTTCCAATTCTGATGCCACACTTTTTTTCATAGAATCCAGCCTATAGGATTGTTTGCTAAGCATACATATTGAATAAGTATGGTGGAAGATTACAACCCTTGCACTCACCTTTCCAGATTTTAAACCAATATCCACTTGTTATGTTTGAATGACTCCATCCTGGTTTATGTACAGGTTCATCATGAGCACAGTTAAGTGTTCTGAAATACCCATTCTTTGCATGGTCTAAGCTTGTCACAATCCACATAGTCGAAAGCCTTTGCATGATCAGTATCTTTGTAGTATTCTCTGCTTTCTGCCAAAATCCATCTGATAAAAACAACAATATCCCTTATTCCATGTCCTTCTCTGAATCCAGCTTAAACCGCTAGCAGTTCCCTGTCAATATACTGTTGCAATTGTTTTTAAATTGCCTTTAACAAAATTTTATTTGCATGTGATATTAATGATGTTGTTTAATGATTTTTGCTTTCCGTTGGGTCACCTCTCTTTGGAATGGGCACAAATATGAATATCTCTTAATCATTTGGCCAGGTACCTGTCTTCTAGATGTCTTGGCATAGATGAGTGAGTGCCTCCAGTGCTGCATCTGTTTGTGGAAAGATTTCAATGTGTGTTCCATCGATTTCTGGAGCCTTGTTCTTTGTCATTACCTTCAATGTACCTTGGACTTCTTCCTTCAATACTATTGGCCCTTGATCTTATGCTGCTTCTTGAATTGGTTGAATATCAACCATTTCTTTTTGGTACAGTGACTGAATATTCCTTTCATCTTCTTTTGATGATTTCTGCACCATTCAATATTTGTACCCCAGTTGTAAATATTAAATGTGATTCTTTTATGGGTTTATTATTGCCTGTAGTCCTACCATTAGAGGACAATATGAAATTTTAGAAATTTTTCTTATTTTTTTAATACTCAAATGATCAAGGTATGTGTGTATCCAATGTGTGTATTGGTGTATGTGTAAGCTTTTATGAGTGATTCTTTTATTAAAGTGTCCATTGGTAAATAAAAAGATGATTTGAAAAACAAATTCTTTTTTTTTTTTTAAGGGTTGAGCTTCATAGAATGAAAATATCCCGGCCAATACCTGAAGTGGGCAAATATACAATGATCTTCCATACCAGAGACCAAGGCAATGAGGTGAATATAGGAAGGTAAGTCCTGAGTTCAGGGGCTGGTTAAGCTACCTGCCTACTTATGCTGAATTTAATCAGATAAGCTATTTCATTTTGTTAAACATTTATTTCTGAAGGAAATGTTCAAGTAGGCAGAAAAATAAAGAAAATGATATATTAAAACTCACATACCCCTACCTAGCATCATAAACAGTCATCAGCTCTTGATCATCTTTGTTCCTCAGCTTATTCTCATCCCCTCCTCTGGACTATTTAGAAGCAAATCCCAGAAATCATACCTCTGGACTATTTAGAAGCAAATCCTAATTTCATTAGGAAATTACTTCAGTATATCTCTAAAATATTGTTGTTAAGTGCCGTTGAGTTGATTCCAACCCATATTGACCCTGTATAGAGTTTCCAAGGAGCAGCCGGTGAGCTTGAACCACCGACCTTGCAGTTCAAAGGACTTTGCAGTCTGATGCATTAGCCCGCAGTGCCACACCAGGACTATAATATAAGAAGTCTTTAAAAATTAGTGTAACCATAAATCATTGTCATATCTAAAATAAATATAGCAATATTTCCTAAGTATCGAATATCCAGTCTGTGTTCACATTTCGCAGGTTATATCTCATCATTTTTATTTTTTATTTTTTTACAGTTGGATTTGTTAGGATAAGAATCTACAAGGTCCACATTGTTGGAATGATCTTAAATATGTTAATCTATAAGTCCTTCCCCCATGACCTACCTTTTTTTATGTTGATAGTCTCATCTTTGGCCAATGGAATTTTCTTCAAGTTAGCTCTGGAATCCTTTTGACATACCACAGTTGTCTTTGCCATTTTCCCTGCCTGCGCTCAGGTGCTGAAAATGTTCCAATCTTGTACTTTTTCTGCCCTAGGATTTAGCCCTTTTACCAAGGAATCCTATCTGAGAAGCTAATTTTTTTTACAGGGCTACAATTGAAGTATGTCCATCTTATTAATCTGATTTTTTTTCTTCTTCTAAATTTAAAATGATTTAAAGGACTTTCAGCAACACAAAATTTAGCTATGTGTCTACCACTCAGCTTTAAAAATTTTTTGTGTGTTTTTGGTCTTTGTTCATTGGTATGCATTTTAATTTTTAAATTCTAAGAAATTAATTTCTTAATAGATTCAAAAGAATATAAATTATGAAAGTCATGAGACCGTGAATATGATGGTGGTCTCTTTCACCCAGTCTGTGTTCATCACCTGTATGGGCTTTACTAATCCCAGGTCTTTCCCTCCCCTATCACAGGTTACATTTTCTTGAATTTTTGTAATAATTCCATATTTTTCCATGTGTTTGTAACTCTAAACAAATATTGTTTAGTCTTGCATGTTTTTTGTTGTACATAAATGAGATCATACTGTATTTATTCTTATCTGAATTTATTTAGCTCAACAGTATGCGTCTGATTTCCACCCACATTGTTATAAGTAATGTGTTACTGAAATTCATTGTTTTCCACTGCTAAGCAACTCACTTCACTCCCAGATTCCAGGTCTGCAGTCACCCTGGCTGATTTCTCCCACAAATGTACTTGCTTCTTTTGCATGTCTATACATTTTGCATGTAGCAAACTTCTCTGTTAAGGCTCAGCCATATTTGCTTCCTCTGTGACCTCTCCCCATGTGGTTAGGTGCCACTTCATCCACCATCATCTGCTGTTGTTGTTGTTAGGTGCCATCGAGTCGGTACCAACTCATAGCGACCTTATG